CCTTCCGGTCTTAAATTGTCTTGTGGCTTTTTAGGTGTTTGTCTATCAGCTGGACGCCATTCTTCATGTTTAGGTTGTTCAAAATCTCCTTCTGGTTTCAAATTATCCTTCGGTCTCTTTTGCGTCGGGCGTTCAGCTGGTCTCCATTGGTCCTTTTCGGGAGTCGTAAAATCACCTTCAGGTCTTAAATTATCAAGTGGCTTCTTCGCTGTTTGCCTCTCTGCTGGACGCCACTCGTCATGCTTAGGTTGTTCGAATTCGCCCTCAGGTTTTAAGTTGTCTTGGGGTTTCTTTTGAGTTGGACGTTCGGCGGGTATCCACACATCTTTTTTAGGAGTCGTAAAGTCACCTTCTGGCTTTAGATTATCCTGTGGCTTTTTGGGTTTTTGCCTTTCTGCAGGACGCCAGTCGTCTATTTGTGGTGTTTCAAAATCGCCCTCTGGTTTTAAGTTATCGCTAGGTTTAATCTTCTTTCGTCTGACATCAATTATCTCATACGTTTTATACTCCTCTTGTGATGTCGTAACTGTTTCTGTATTTTCGGTAGAGTAAAACTTATCAAAATCTTCTTTTGTCCATGTACGACGACGATGAGGACGTTCAACAATAGCATTCTTTTCGGTGTAATCATTTTGGTTTGAAGTTATAAATTCTATTTCACCTTCTCTTATTAAATTATCTGTTTTTCGAGTGACCAAGGTAGTTCTCTCGACTGTGTCAGTGTAGTCTATAAATTCAGATTTTGAAGTAGTGTCGGTCGTCATGTCTCCTTCAATTTTAGTCCAAGTGTTTCGCCGCACCGGTTTTGGTCTTTCAACAGGTTTCACCGTATACTCTGTTCTCGATGTGGTGGTATCTGTAAACAAAACAAATCATTTGTTACCTTGTAGTTTTTGTAAATCGAAATAAAATACTGTTCTACTCAACTTAGCGCAACTGATTGAAAAAAAAGTATTTTTAATAAATAATATAAATCTCGTTCACCTGTGAATTCACCTTCCATTATGATGTTGTCCGTACGTCTTATAATTTCGGCCCTTTCTCCAATGACTACTTTATAATCTTCTTCTATTGTTCTCCTAGTAGTAAATTCGCCTTCGGGATGTAAGTTATCTTTCGGTTTTTTGACAATTGATTTTTCGGCTGGTACAAATTCCTCCGGTTGACGTTTAGTGAATTCTCCTTCAGGTTTAAGATTATCTGTAGGTTTCTTTTGTACCGGTCTTTCAGCGGGTTTCCATTCATCTTTTTTGGGTGTTGTAAACTCGCCCTCTGGCTTCAAATTGTCTTCAGGTTTCCGCACTGGTTCTCTTTCACCAGGACGCCACTCCTCCGGTTTGCGCCTTTCAAAATCACCCTCTGGCCTCAGATTATCCTCTGGTTTTTTCGGCTTTTGCCTTTCTGCTGGCCTCCACGGTTCTTTCTCAGGTGTTTCGAAATCTCCCTCGGGTCTAAGATTATCATGTGGACGTCGTACTGGTGCCCTATCGCCCGGCTGCCATTCCTCGGGTTTTCTCTTTTCAAACTCTCCTTCAGGTTTAAGGTTGTCTTTTGGACGCCGAACCGGTTCTCTGTCACCTGGATACCATTCTTCGGGTTTCCTTTTCTCAAAATCTCCCTCTGGTTTTAAATTATCTTCTGGTTTTCTGGGTTTTTGTCTTTCTGCTGGTCTCCAAGGTTGTTTTTCTGGAGTCATAAATTCGCCTTCCGGCCTCAAGTTATCATCCGGTCGACGAACGGGGGCCCTATCTCCGGGACGCCATTCTTCAGGTCTTCGTTTTTCAAAATCTCCTTCTGGATATAGGTTATCTTCGGGACGACGTACTGGTGCACGGTCACCAGGGCGCCAATCATCTGGTTGACGTTTTTCAAATTCACCTTCAGGTCTTAAATTATCAACAGGTTTCTTAGGTGTAGCACGTTCCGCTGGTCGCCAAGACTCTTTTTCGGGTGTTGTAAAATCACCCTCAGGCCTGAGATTGTCATTGGGACGACGTATCGGAGCCCTATCTCCCGGGCGCCATTCTTCTGGTCTTCTTTTCTCAAACTCACCTTCAGGTTTTAGATTGTCTTCTGGACGACGAACAGGAGCTCTATCACCAGGTGCCCATTCCTGTGGTCTTCTATTTTCGAAGTCACCCTCAGGTTTCAAGTTATCTTCGGGACGTCGCACAGGAGCTCTTTCACCGGGACGCCAATCTTCAGGTTGTCGCTTTTCAAAGTCGCCTTCTGGGCGTAAATTATCCTCTGGCTTTCTGGGTTTTTGTCTTTCAGCAGGTTTCCATGGCTCTTTTGTGGGAGTGTCGAATTCTCCCTCAGGTTTTAAGTTGTCTTCAGGTCGACGAATTGGAGCACGGTCACCAGGTTGCCATTCTTTGGGCTGCCGTCTTTCAAAATCTCCTTCCGGTTTTAAATTATCTTCTGGGCGCCTAACGGGTGCTCTCTCACCTGGTTTCCATTCTTCCGGACGCGGTCTCTCGAATTCTCCTTCAGGTCTGAGATTATCCTCGGGCTTTTTAGGTTTGGGTCGTTCAACAGGCTGCCAGCGAGGCCGCTCCGGTTCTTGAAAGTCCCCTTCAAGATGGAGATGGTCTTCGTGATGAACGGCAGTAGTCCGGCTGACATGTTTCTCGTCGTAATCTTGTTTGTATGCGGAAACCACGCTCGTCGTGTGCTCCACATCGAACAATGGCTCCGGGACATCGTTGTGTGGGCAACGGTGACGCCTAGAAACATTAATAAAAATATAGAGATAAATCACAATTTCCTGTTGCGTGTAACACTCTTGATTTTGTGAGAAATATTTCTCAGGTGTGTACAATAATTTAACTTTGAACATAATATTTATTCACACCTTTTGAATCGATAAGGATGTAGATAAATTGGAAATTTTCGAGGCAGAGGTAAAGGCGGCAGCATCAGCGATCCGGCCATCACCCGCATTCATCTTGCTCACATCATTACACTTCGTTAACAACAATACACTGTACTAATTGTATAAATCTCATATTGGTTTACTGTTTTTTTACACTTTTTAAAAGACAATTGCATATTTGTTTATGCCTATAACTAAAATAATTTCTTATAGCACCGAAATCACAACCCATTGCTTTCGCCCTTTTCAGTCCTGATTTCATAAATGGTAATACATTATTTTATCATATTTATGCTTAACTTCACATACATTTGTTTATAACATTTAAGTAATCGTTTAAAGTTTTTTTTTAAATTATTTTGAGGCTAGTAATATTTGTTCTAGGAAGCCTTCCGTTAAACACAAACGCGCGCTGTGTACTGCCGCACAATTTGCCTTCGCCTTCTGAAATTTCTCACATAACTATAGTATGATTTTTTTGTCGGCGATAACGTTTATAATAACAATATACATAGGTTTAAATAAATGTTTTTTTTTTTAAGTTCTGGATTTAATGTTTCAGCTTTAAATCCAAAAAAGTGCGAAATTATCAATATGAATATGTTTCTATAGAATCAACTTTTGAAATATTTTACAAAGTCCTTACGTATTTATCTTTAGATGTATATTTTGTAGTAAAATGAAAGTTAAGAACATGTGATGCACAAAGGCGTAGCAAAGGGGTTAAGTGGGCGTATGTACCAGCCATTCCAGATTTAGCTGTGACTCAGGCAATCGTAAGGAACACAATGAACCCTTCATTACTGCAGCGCCGTTCTCATTTAACCATAGGCTTTAAGTATTTATTAGGTAACAAGATATCTCTATTGCGATGCAAGAATTTTCATTAGGACTGGAAGGTAGAAACTTCTAGAAGTAAAAGCTTGTTTATTATAATTCTTTAAAAAAATGTCTCTTATCTTAAATCAGGCAAATATAAACATTACTATCAGCTTTGAATTTATTTATTTTCTTACTTATTAAAATGGGATTGATTTTGAAAAAAAATCCCCATCAAATTGCTATTGCAGAATCAAAGTGTAACATATAGAAAATTGTAACCGTTATCGAAAAGCTTCGTTTCAGTATCGACGTGATAGATAATTGAAAGCCCAAGCCATTGTAAACGGTCGCCTAGCAACGCGCAACAAACACGTCCTACGTAATTACGTCCTTAAAAAGTCAGTAGTAATCGGTTTTCTATAAAATATGAAGTATTTTTCTTTCCCGTCATTTTCTTCCAATGAATGATGCGTATTTTAGATAGACGAGGGATGGTATCTTGTTCCTTTTTGTAATTTATTTTGTTTTTATAGAAAAACGTTACAAATAACAATCTTATATGTATTATTGTGATACTCGTATGAACATCCTGTTTATTACAATAGCAACAATATATTCATAATTCTTCTCTTTACTTATATCCTATTATTAACTAACTACAATATTAAAATTATAGCGAATCCTGGCTCAAGTTAGTCATCAATATTTTCAAGCAAATATAAATATAGTAATTTACATCTTCGACAGTACTCAAATGTACCTAACCACTTACATATTACCTAATTGGTTAAGTCAATGACACTAAAGCACATTTAACATTTACCTAAGTGAATTAAAGTCAAGATATTTGATCTGATGGTCGTCGCAATTACTTTCTGAATAACTTAAACATTTTGACTGCCAGTTTTATCTTAGTTTAATTGCAAGAAAGTTTACTAATATATGAATTCCACACACATAAGTTAGATAAAATGTACGAGAAAATATTATGATATCATTGTTATGCAAATGCAGACATACAAGTGTTTAATGGTTAAGTAATAAATAAACTAGCTGTCGCCCGCGAATCCTTCTGTGTAGATAAAAAAAAACATAATTAGTTGCCCGTGTGTTCTTCCAGACCATAAATCAATGCTAAATTTCAGAGACGTCCATGCAGCCGTTGTAGTGATACCTTCTAACAAACATTCGCATTTACAATATTGGTGAGATTAGTAAGAATAATTTTTTTTATTACCATAGCCCTCTCTTTTATGGGTTTTCTTCATTTATTTATTTAGGTATGTTTTGTATATAGGACGTATTTATTTTTAAGGCATAAATCAACGGGTTATCTTTCTACGTATACGTGTAATGAGTTATTTTCTCTCACAAGTCGTATGTGTGGTCTTGTAAGGTCATGTGAGTCAGAACAATATACTCAGATATGTCATGGTCGGCGTGTTCACAGAAGCCCTTGTTACTTATTCAGAAATTACCTCATTGAACAACTTCATGTTGTTTTTATCCTTATTTGTAATATAGGTCGTTCGGTTGTTTACTTATGCATTGAGAAAAAAAAATATTCAAAGATCGACAAGATTGCCACGATTGAAAATTAGTTTTAGTTTTTTTGGACTAAAGATTAGTTAAAAAGCAAATAAACAATTATGAAATAATTAAGAGATCATTCTGATAGTATTTCTTAGGAACTTATAACTTTGATTTTGCATTATTTTTAATGATTTCCTTATAAAAAACTAAAATATAAATAGCTAGACACCCGCGTATAGTTATCTGGTGTCTGCACCGACTAGTTTGAAGCCCAACCAACCAACTAACCAAAGTTTTTAATAATGTTTCACGAAAGTTTGAATAATTTTATATAATAGGGCATAGAGAATATATAAATAAAAATTTATGGTTTAATATAAATAGTTTATGCTATATTGCACCTACATAATACCGATAGAGAGGCATGTGCTTGCTGCAATTTGCATATGGTATGAATAAAGCATATGCTGTTGCAGTCTGAGTCACGGCTAAGCAAGCGCTGACAGGATCGAAGATGTTCTCTCTATATTGGGACGATTACTCAACCGACTGCCGACTCGACTCCACTCAAATATTATTACGCAGAATTCCGGTGATTCAAAAAGCAGCCCAGCGAGATTTATTTACAAAAAACAATGCGCTTTTTGTAGATTCAAGAATAATGACGATACGTTTAATTATATTCGAATAACTAATGCTTCTGTAAATTTATTTCAGTACAGAAATAAAGATATAACACATTTTATTCCTTGCCCTTTGCTTGGTTAAAAAAAAACTTTCTTTTATAATCTGTGCTTAAAATGCTAGGTAAAAAATACTTATTACGTTCCATTTCAAGGTATATATCGAATTGAAATGTCTATTAGATAGCTTAACATAATTTCTTCAACACACTACAGGTAATCCTTAACCAGTTAACATGTTCAAATATTTAAAGCAGCTTAAATAAATCCCTTTATAAGATATTAAGGTATGTTTTAAGATGCTTACCACTTTTTAAAATGTTTATTACAATCGACTCGCGCTTCGTGTTTACCAATGGGTAAACAGCTGTGGAACTGAACGTGTTAAAAAGAAAAAATCTGTTACGTCATTTTTTTTACAAAAGATAAAAATAATTCGTTCATCATTGTTTTAGATTTATCATGAATCATCTAATATGAAATATAAATACATAAATTGGAAGTAATATATTAAAGCAATTTGTTTCCAATGCATTTTTTGCAATTGCCAAGACTGTCAAGGTGATCCGCCTATTCAAGTTTTTCAAGTACGAAATAATCAAGCATAGGAAGTAATTTGAAATTATGGCATCACCGTAATCGGCTATGTTGGCCGTTCACATTTAGCGTGGGCTTTTTATATGCAATTGTGACCTCATGTATCAAACCAATAATATAAATTTTTATGTCCAATATCTTTAACTAAGTATTTACACCTTGGGTTTTGTTAATCCGAAAATAACAATGTACAATTTGAAATGCGGTCCCCAATATTAATACGCCAATCAATAAACACAAAGGCAAATAAATTAAGTAAATATTAATTAGGTCTAGACTGAATATAATCGTGATTAGGGCCTTAGTAACTCAGTTTACGTTATGCTTGAAATGTGATTATTATAAAATTTAACTCCAACAGCAAATATATGTACATATTCCACTTTAACAATCGTGAAACGTTCCCACATCGCCACAACCTTTCAGCGAACTACAAAGGTGATCTTGACCTTAACAAAGCACTCATATGAAAGAGAAATTAATTAACACTAATTAAAACTAAGTTAAAAGCTACTTAAAATGAATATTTTTATTTCATTATTCGATGTAAAACGACACCTTACTAATATTATAAATGCGAAGATTGATGTTTGTTAGAAGATATCTGCACAACGGCTCAACAGATGTCGATGAAATTTGATACAGATATAGATTACTTTTTTTTTAAATCCGCGCAGACGGTGTTGCGGGCGACAGCTAGTATTTATAATAATTTGATAGGATAATAGGTTTCTACATAACAAATTGTAGTCATATGTTAGTGAATAGAGTGATAGTGTCGGCGGCGCGGCGACCATATGGTCGACGACCTTCTATAGCTTGGCATTAGTGACAGCCTGTCTAACAGTTCTTACACCTACACACTTTTTAGTGTCTCTGAATAATAATAATCTGCAATACTTTACGAAGAAAAAGAACTCATAGTGTTATTTATAATCATGAAATATAATCTGACTAGCTTTTTGCCACGACTCCCTCCGTTTTGGATTAACAAAACACATCTAACATATAAGATCGTATCATTTACATTGAATTTGGTATATCCATTTATTTTTGTATTGTAAAACTTTATTTGATGTGATAAATATAGGACTGAAGGACAAAAATAATCGATAAGTGTCCGTGACATGACCCTGATTTACTTAAGAAGGTGATAATTTATAAAAGTGTGAAAACATAAAATTACTTCCAAATAAAGTTACCGTGACTCCGTGAA